CAGCCCGAGCATGATTAGAGGGGCCAGGCTCCTCGTCCGACAGTAAGTCTTGGAGCTCCTCAGAGCCGTCCTCTGACTCTAATGTCACTCCAGGCCCCTCCTCCTCATCCGAGTCCTCAGACTCAGCTGCTGGATCCATTGGCTGGCGAGGAATCACAACACTGGCTGACCATCAGATTTGCAGACGACACCAAGCTGGCAGGAATAGCCAACACTCCAGAAGATAGGCTTAAGATACAGAAGGATCTTGACAGACTTGAACATTGGGTGCTATCTCTAACAAAATGAAATTCATTTCAATAGTGAAAAAAGTAAGGTTCTACATTTAGGCAAGAAAAACCAAATGCACAGGTGTAGTATAGGTGGTACCTTGCCAATAGTAACAACTGTGAGAGGGATCTCGGAGTCCTAGTGGACAATCACTTAAATATAAGTGAGCAGTGTGCTGCAGCTGCCAAAAAAGCCAACACACTGCTAGGCTGCATTAACAGAAGGAGAGAATCAAGATCATGTGAAGTGTTCATACCACTTTACAATGTCTTGGTAAAACCACACTTGCAATACTGCATCCAGTTTTGATCACCATGATATAAAAAAAATGTTGAGACTCTAGAACAGTGGTTCTCAATCTTTTTAATGCCGTGACCCCCAACCGGTCGTAAGTCGAGGACTACTCAACCGGTCGTAAGTTGAGGACCACTCAACTGGTGCAGCACCGTTTGCAGAATGGGACTTTTGGCGGGCTCAGCAGGGCAGAGACAGCCTGGACAATTCCTATTGGCTTTTGAAAGCCAATAGAATTAGACTCTATTCAAGAGAGTCTGTTCTATTGGCTTTCAAAAGCCAATAGAATAAAAAGCACAGCTAAGGAAAAGGGGAAGCAAATGGCGGACTGAGTTGTTTGGCGACCCCCGTGAAATGGTCGTTCGACCCCAAATGAGGTCCCGACCCACAGGTTGAGAACCACTGCTCTAGAAAGAGTACAGAGAAGAGCAACAAAGATGATTAGGGGACTGGAGGCTAAAACATATAAGGAACAGTTGCTGAAATTGGGTATCAAGTTATTCTCCAAAGCACCTGAAGGCAAGACAAGAAGCAACGGATGGAAACTAACCAAAGAGAGAAGCAACCTAGAACTAAGGAGACATTTCCTGACAGTTGGAACAATTAATCAGTGGAGCAACCTGCCTCTAGAATAGACTTGTCAAACACAAAGCCCGGGGGCTGGATGCGGCCCGCGAAGTGGTTTCATGTGGCCCGCAAGCCATCCTGGAAACAGTGAGGGAACGGCCCCCGCTGCCTTGGCCCTGGCTGGCCGGGAGCCAATGTACAATTTTGTGGTGGCCATCTATGCTGAAACACATTCAGTCTTAGCTCCACAAGGCCGTCTAGAAACAGCGAGGAACCAGTCCCTGCTGCGTCGGCCCCGCCTCTGGGTGCATGCTGGTGAAGTGCATGCAAAAGGCGGCCTTACTAGGAACTGCTTCCATCCTGCGACGATATCTGTAATACCATCAAACATCCACATCTGCCTATCCCAGGTCCTGGGTAAGGACTCGATAGGTAGACAAAATGCCAAATCCAGTCTGAACATCTGGCTGACTGTGTGATGATCCGTAATAATAATAATAATAATAATAATAATAATAATAATAATAATAACAACAACAACAACAACAACAACAACAATAATAATAATAATAATATCATCTGCCTCTTAGTTCTTCCAGAAAAAGATCTATGTTCCCTAGTTCTGGTGCGTCCTCATTGCAAAGACTGATCATCCACTCTGCAGCCTCCCCTTCTAGGTTGGCTACCATTGCGTTCACCATCATCCTCTCGTCGGGGTAGGCAGGAGCGTAGCAGTCTAGATGAGCCCACACCTGGTTCATGAAAAAGACAGCTTATCTGGGTCCCTGTCAAGCATGGTTCTGATTGGCGGTGGGTCTTGTCAGGGTAGAGGTGCCAACCAGGATGCTGGTACTGGGCTGTGGCTGAGGTTGAGCCCATCTCTGGAATCCTCTTGGCTACCCCACTAGGCTCGTGGCTTGCTGTTGGCTCTGCGGGCTTCGCCTGGGACCTGGGCTCCATGCTGGTGCTGGTCTGGGAGGTGGGTCATGATGACTGGACTTGGGCTCCGACAGGCGAGGAGCAGTTGACTTGTCCTAACCTAGGCTCCAGCTGAGACCTCATACCTCGCAATTAGGGTCACTTCTCTGATTTCCATTTGGTCGAACTTCTCCTTCAGTCTTTTGACTGAATGTTCACAGTGTTGGTGTGTTCACAGTGTTCAAAGTGTTCACAGTGATGGTGGAGGCACTTGGAACTGTGAATCTTAAGCTGGAAGATTGGGTTCAACAGATCCCAGGAAAAACATTAGAGCTCTGTGCCCAAAAGAGCGCAGCACAGAACCCTCAACTTCCCAGACCTCTGATAAAAGACCCAAGATTGAGATGCATATCATCCATAAGGGTGAGAAGGGGTTTATATATAAAAACATTACACTAGTAATAATTAATACAAATAAAGAAGTTACTTCTAATCTTTATCACAAATTTGGTAGCTATTCATCTCCTGTAAAGTTACAAACAGATATCTCTTGTCTCCATAACCCATTCCTTATCTATAAACAAATCCATAAGACATCAACTTTTAAAATCTGGGATTAGCAAAACATCTGTAACGGGTTGCCAGAGTTTCATACAAGCATGTTTTATTTTAATTTTGATGAAATAAACCAACTTCATATTCCTTCCTTTTACTGCTAAAAATCTTAATATTGTTATAGGATTTGCTCTCCTTCAATTCTTCTTTGCTCATCAAATAGGCTTCTTTGAGACTTTAAAAAATCTCTTTGGTAAATTCAATAAAAACATTATCCAATCCATTATCTTGTTTTATTATTTGCATTTCCACTTTAATTTTTAAAACTTCAGTCAGCTTCTTTGGTATATACACTAAAACATCTGGTTTAATCCATACTTTTTTAATCCGGTATTTCTGGTTTCACTAATTCCATATCAAACAAGATTTGTTTCACATCTTTGATTTCTTCATTAACATCCTTTAAACATAGTCTATCCACAGAAGCAGACATCATTACTATTCTTATTGATATTCTGGCTACTGCTCCATTTTTCTAATATTTCCTTTAACATTATAATATTTTGTGAAATTTTTTAATCACAATCCTAATCAAAACCAAAGGCAGTTTTTTTTCTTTTTGCCTTCTATAGCACTTGCCCCAAAAGGGTTATATGAATGATTTTATCCTCCAGATATCTGACAGATTAGCTGCAGCAACCCAATATCTGTTCCTATGGGCCCTCCTTTGTTAAAAGGGTTTATATTACTTTAAACAGGGCTCTAGAAGACAGACTTAAGATGCATTATAATATTGCTTTTTTACTGCTCTTCACTAAGTAAGCTTTTATCCATGTTCAATCAAATTTACTCCTTACCTTTAGTCAGTGTCACTTTAGACATTTTCTGTATTGCATACAGTAATCTCTGGCTTACTCAGTAAATGAAGAATTCCCCCAGGATCATAGGGAGAAGCTGCTCAGGTGCAATTCTATCTAAGGTTCCTATACCTGGAGCCAACTAAGATCTCAGCAGAATTCCCCATCAAAATCTTAGGAAAAGCCATTGAAAATTGGAATTTATTTATTATTTAATATGCTGCCCATTTCACAACTTACATGACTTACCACATAATAAACAGAAACAGAAAAACAATAAATATCACATTGCAATTCACATAAAATTAACTAAAATAGGGGCTAGTATACAATGGGGTGAAGGGGAATCTTCTATCTTCTATTCATATTACAAATAAATATATGATAAGGGGATCAATCTCTGTTTGGTGAGATGCTTTTTGAAAGATCAGATACTTACATTTATTGTACAAATATGTTTATGGGATTGATCTTGACTAATAAATGGCTGTCAACCTATTCCCTAAATGTCTGCCCTTTTTTTCCTTTCCTCTTTAACAGTATAATGGAAATATAATGTGTCAGTAATGCAGGAAAGAATACTGGAATGAAAAGGGATGAATAAGCTGATGTTTACATGGGTTCTAACTCTACACAGAGTGGCTTACAAGATCTTACTTAATTTCACCCCTTGACCATTCAGTGTCTTCAGTGTGCCTTTGCATTTCTTTTTACTGCATTTTCAGTTAATAATGGTGAGTCTGGGAGGATAAAATAATATTCTTCCCAGCTTTCATTATAAACAGGAGTCAAGTTACAAACTGGCATTATTTAGAACATTAGTCATTTATATTTAGTTAACTTGTAATTGAGAATCTTTTGTTTAGTATTAGTAAACAATATTGTGAATTATCAAATAATAAAATGAATAAAATTTACCTAATGCAAAGAAGGAACATGCCTTACATTTTCTATTAATTAATTTTTTAAAAAAAGACTGGAGTTTTGGCCACAATTAATTCCTGCTGTTTTTAAGAAATGTATTGAATGATTTAGTGTATTGAAATTCTTCTGTTGCATGTTAAACTCTAAAATAAGTGGAAAGCTGCAGCAAGAACAAATTTATTCATGTGCTGATTTTTAGTATTGAAGTATTTCTGCATTATAAAACACTACAGTCAATATATTGAATTTACAAACTTATATTAGGGAATTTTCCACATTCCCACTTTTAAATTCTCTGATTGAAAAAAATGATTGTATGCTATCAAGTCAGTATCAGGGCCCACATAGGTTTTCTCTAGGAATATGCATTTGAAAATTATATTGATGTCCTGATGTCCAGGAGAAGAAACTTTATATGTCTGGGGAGATTCTCAGTCAGCAAAGTCATAGTTGTCTTAAAAGTGCTTTTTCAAAAGGCATCTGTTTTCTTTTCCTTGAGGAAGAAGAAAAACATTTTTGTTCTTCTTCAAGAAAAAATAAAACAGACCAAGCTTTTTACTTCCCTAGCTAATAACCTATTGTGGAATGCTGAATGTCTTCTTTATTCCTTTGCAGTTCGTTTTGCGCCTTATAGACCTCCTGACATCTCTTTGAAACCACTGCTTTTTGAGGTACCTAGCATCACCACAGAGTCCGTGTTTGTTGGCCGGGATTGGGTGTTCCAGGAGATTGATATGCATTTACAGAGTACTGATGCCAATGTGAACAGAGGTGTGGTGATAGTTGGAAATATTGGCTTTGGCAAGACAGCAATCATTTCTAGACTGGTTGCACTGAGCTGTCATGGCACACGTATGAGGCAGATTGCTTCGGACAGCCCCCATGCATCCCCAAAACGTAAGTGAACCATTAGATTTTTATATAAAAATTGTATATTATATGAAAAAAAGTATTCTTGCACAAAAAATTGGGACAATAATACTTGAAAATGTAAAAAAATTCCTCTGTATCAGAGCTATTCATTTTCCAGTTCTCTACTATGTGAATTTCATATTCAAAGATGCTTCTTTTCAGTAAATATTTCAACTTTAGTTTTATTGCAGTGCAAATTGAAATACGTTTGTGTGTAACGATCTATGGCTGTGCATGGTTGTAAATTAATTTAATTGAAACACATTGTATAAGTACCAAGCTTATACAATGAGGATAAATTCAAGGAATTCATAGTAGCCAACCCTAAATCCAGAATTGTCCTTTTTGAAATCTCCTTTTCAAATGAATACTCTGTGAAAAATCCAAGCCTTAGGACAACAGTCCCCAACCGCTTTGCAGCCTATTAGAAAGGGGGGAAAGGGAAACTGGCCCATACAAGCAGTGGGTGTGTACATGTGTACATGCCACTCTGCCATGCATGCAAGTCAAGCTGTGCACATGCCCCAGCCTGCTGCTCACACAGCCCACTTTCAAACCTCCCACAAACCCGGTCGTGGGTTGCAGCACGAGGAACCCTGCCTTAGGAGATTTCTTAAGTTATATGAAATAGCCAAGAATGTAAGTCAGTAAGATGGTAGAGGTTAATCTACATTATCTTGGTGGTATGGCTGGATACTTTTTATTTTAATATCTTTAGTCAAATCTGTATTGGATTGGATTTGGATTCAGCTTTTTAGCTGTTTTGGGACTGTGTGCTACAAGCTACTCTGGCCACTTCATCAGTTACTATGGCTACATTTGTTGCATTGTCAGGCCCATGAACCAAGTGTTGAAGCTGCTGGGAGATAGGTGTGCTGGGTGGGTTTTGAGAATGGGCTGATCAATTCTGAGACTGGAGAACAGGCTGGACTGGGTCAGAGATCAAAGGAATGGATTGGAGTAAGAAGTAATCTACCATGTTTTGGACTGGGCATTGATCACATTAGAAGGTTGGATTGTGTCCTGGCCATGCTAGGATGACAGGTTGCTGGGTGAGCCACCTGGAGGAGAGGCTAGAGCAGGGGTGTCAAACTCAATTTCATTGAGGGCTGCATCAGCATTGCGGTTGCCCTTGGGGGGCCGGATGGGTGTGGCCAAGGTGGTGTGGCCTACTGGGTGGCATGGATGGAGTGGGTGTGGCCTACTGGGTGGGCATGGCCAGCTCTACATCGTTTGCATCAAGGGTGCCTGTTTGTTTGTTTGTTTGTTTGTGTCAAGGAGTGGGACAGATCTGAGGGTCTCTGGCAGAGGGGAGTGGGACCGGGATAAGCGCCAAGGCATGGTGCATTTCTTCATTCCTCACAAAGGGTGACACCTCCCCAGCATGCACTCAGGGGGTGGGGCCAATGCAGCAGGGGCTGGTTCCTCGCTGTTCTAGACGGCCTTGTGGAGCTAAGACTGAATGCATTTCAGCATAGATGACCACCACAAAACTGTACATTGGCTCCCGGCCGGCCTGGGCCAGGGCCAAGGCAGCGGGGGCCGTTCCCTCACTGTTTCCAGGATGGCTTTGCGGGCCATATGAAATCACTTTGTGGGCCACATCCGGCCCCCGGGCCTTGTGTTTGACATGTCTGGGGTAGAGGAACAGGCCACTTTTTGGAATTCATAAGATTTTCCAACTGGGAGGCCAAACAAGTCTTGGACTTTTGGAATAAGAGTATGGGTAGTGAGATAGACCATCAGAATGGCATTCTGCTGTGGACCCTTACCCTAACTGAACCTATCCCTTTGTCATACCTTGTTTTTTAATTCTGGCTACTAGTTAGATGCCTCTGATGATTGTTGTATGTTTCCTGCCTTATTAGTTGGGTAAAATGAGTGGGAAGGAAACAATAACCAGGGAATGAGAGCAGTTGGGGTAAGCTTCCTGTAGTGGGTGGGTGTGGGTGGGTGGCGAGGAAGATAGGTTGCTGGGTAACCTAATGGTGCCTTAGAGTGCCTGGCTTCCCCTCTCTAGAACGGATGTAATTGACTGCTATGGAATAGGGGGATCTGGAGGGAAAGATAAGGTAGCCTTCAGGGTGAAGGTTTTGGGCGATAGTATTAAGGTGGTACAGGCATGAGGAGATATAATGGGATACAAAGAGTGGGCCAATCCTGGGGAATATATTTTATACCAGTTTCCACATTTCAGCTCGTTGGTTTCAGCCTCAGTACCCACACAACAGACCTCTGAAGAGACATGCAGGCAGGGGAGAGCAATTTCAAAGAGCCTGTGAAAGAGGCACTTTTGGCAGAAGACGCCGCCCTTGGGTGTAGCAGAGTTCTCTACCTCTATTACAGATTCTTCACAGTTCCAGGTTTAGAATGTTTCCCTGGGAAAGCGAAGGCTTTGGAAATCAACCCTTTAGTTCCCCTGAATAGCTGAACGCTAGCAGACTGCTTCTTGGAAAAGTAATTGGGTGAGTCCCTAGCTGGGGTGAGACAATCAAACACGTTCACTGTGGAAGAACCACCTGTTTACAACAGACAATAACGGACTGCTTCTTAGGCACTAGTGGTTTTTTTTGCATATTTACCTTTCATGCTGAAAGAGGCTTTCTCCAGTTGCAGCTTTCCATTTCCTTTTTGTGGAATTATCATTTTTGAAGCTTCTTGACTTTAAGATGGCAAGGAATTTAGCCAAGCCAAAATAAAGAAGCTGGAAATTGCTAGAAACCAAAACATTTTGGAAACTATTTTTGAAACTTTTGAACTTAAACTTTCTAGAGGATTTTATATTGCTAGCCAACTCTGCAGAACTTTTTTTTTTTTAATTTAAAATAAGAACTGCTTGAATGGTGTTTTGTGCTTGCTGCGAGGAGGGGAAGAAACGGTTTCAATTTCAGTTGCTCCTGATTGGATTAGCCATGTGGGCTCCTAAACAAAGAGGCAGAGCTTAAGCATTTTGGTTCTTTTTGTATAATAGCATAGACCAGTGGTTCTCAACCTGTGAGTCAGGACCCCATTTGGGGTCGAACGACCATTTCACGGGGGTCGTCAAACAACGCAGTCCGCCATTTTTTCCCCCTTTTCCTTAGCTATGCTACTCCCTCTTATTCTATTGGCTTTTGAAAGCCAATAGAATAGACTCTCTTGAATAGAGTCTAATTCTATTGGCTTTCAAAAGCCAATAGGAATTGTCCAGGCTGTCTTTGCCCTGCTGAACCCGCCAAAAGTCCCATTCTGCAAACGGTGCTGCACCAGTTGAGTAGTCCTCGACTTACGACCGGTTGAGTAGTCCTCGACTTATGACTGGTTGGGGGTCGCGGCATTAAAAAGGTTGAGAACTGGCATAGACTGACCACAAGAGGGAGTCAAAAAGACTGCTAATTCCTTTTAACCTTTCACTGGCATTATTAACCCATTGGATTTTATGTTACAAATCTTTAAGTCTAAAACTTTTAATTTTAAAACTTAAGAATTTTGGTTATACATTATCCAAATGGCCACACACAAGAAAACAGAAAGAATCGAGTGATTATCAGGAGATATAGAAATTTTAAAACCTTTTCGAGATGAATATATAGCTTAAAACACATGAACTAATTTGAACAATGGGAATAAAGCTTAAGTCTAAGATTGATGCTCTTGCAAGTGAACTTCAGGAGAAATCCAACATCTGACCGGAGATATCAAACCAGTGAAGGATAGAGTGTATCTCTTTTTTTAATATATTTTATTGATTTTTTAATATAAACATCTTGATATTTGGTAAACAGCATGTTGTCTGGGTTTATATTTACAAAGTAATCACTAACTGTTAATTTCTATATTCCAAATCCACATAATAACTTTGCTTGGTTTTCTCTTCTTCCAATAACATTCTCTTTGCAACCTAAATTAATACAATTCTTATTCATTTGATAGGTAACAATTAAATATAAAGATTTTTTCTAAAATTTCTACCAATAATAATCTCATCAATATCATGCTTTTCTATCTGGTCATCTTGGTTGCCTCGCCACAAATCCTGTTTACAGTTCTTAAATTTATTTTCCCTACAATATTCAAAACATTTCTACTAGTTAAAATTTTCCCAGAATTAATTACCTTAAAGTATTTAAATCTATTTTCATATCTTAAAAAATAAGTAAGAAAAAGACACAAAAGAAAGACATAGAAAAAGAAAAGACGTGAGAGAGAAAAAGAAAAAGAGAAAAAAGGAGAAGAAAAAAAGAAAATAATTTACTATTTAAAACACGTATCCTTCTTGAACTAGTATACACTTATTTCCAAATTCTGTTCTTTTTACCCATAATTAAATCTATGTTTAATCTTTTTGTTTGTTTGTTTTTCAGTATTGGGGGGAGACTAGTCTGAATTGGGTTATAAAGCTCGCGGTGCTTCATCTCTTCCCATTGTACTCAAAGCTGCCGGCCGTGAGTAATTCCTAAATCCCGGATGGAGCCACAGAGGCATTTGCGGGGAGGAGCCGAAGACCCCTTGCCACTTCTCCTGCCTCGATCTAGGGCTTGATCGGAGACCCACATTGCTAGGAACTCACTCACTTTCAGAAGGTGGCACCCTGCTAGGGTGGTAACTTGGCCCTTCCCTCAGACCTTCCCAGAGGTGGGAGTAGGGTGATAGACACCCAGCTAGTGGCCTCTACAGAGAGCTTCCTCCCAGCAAAAATCTATGTTTAATCTTTAAATGTTCCATTTAATAAATTCAATCATCTAATCTTTTAACTCTTATTCAAAATATCGAAAAAACAAAAGAAGAAAAGAAAAAAAGATACTGTCTTATTTAGAGAGTTCATTCCTCTTAAACTAAAATCTTTCAATTTCTTCAGCCATATTCAAACAAGTGTTTAACTTTTAAATATTCCCTCTGATACATCCCATCATTTAATTCCTCAATTCTCACTTTAGCCCTCTTCTTTTGCCAAGCGTCTCTCCCAATCAATATATTCTGTTGCATCAAAGAATCTTTCCATAATC